GTTTGACTTGTTCTTTTTCTAGAAGTTTGAGGCTCAACATTAACTTATTTATTTGAGCTCATTATGTCTTCTACATATGAATATTTACCAGGATAAATTTCCCTCTTAGGACTGCTTTCATTGTGTCCTATAGGTTCTGGGATGTATATGCATTATCATTTAGTTGTAGGTACTGTTTAATTTCTTATTTAATTTCATCTGGATTCATTTGTTGTTCAGTAAGGTATTATTTAATTTCCATATATTTATGGAGTTTTCTTGGTTTATTTCACCATTGATTTCCAGTTTCATTGCACTGGGGTAAAATAACATGCATAGGATAATTTTGATACCTTAGCATTTACTTAAGCATGTTCTATGGGCTAGTATATGGTCTATTTTGAAGAATGTCCCATGTGCAATGGAGAAGAGCATATATTCTGATGTTGTGGGATGGAACTCTCTGTAGGCATCTGCTAGGTCCATTTGTTCACAGGTTTTGCTCAGTTCTGATACCTCTTTGTTGATATTTTGTGTAGTTGATCTACCTATTTATGATTGTGGAGTTTTAAAGTCCCCTATCACAATGTGTTAGTGCTTATTTGATTTTTCTTCTCTATTAATATTTGTTTTATATAGTTCTATGCTCCTGTGTTTGGTGCATATATATTTATGATTGCTATCTATTCTTCTTTCCCTCAGCAAGAATGTAGTGACCTTCTTTATTTTTTTAAATCTATCTTGGCCTGAGGTTCACAATGTCTATAAATGGAATAGCTTCCAGTGCTTTTGTCCAGTTTCCTGACACATGGAATATTGTTACCCATCCTTTGAATGTCTTTTTGTGCTAAATGTATTTTTTGTATGCAGCATGTTGTTATATCTTCTTTCCTGATCCATCTGCCAGTCTATTTCTTTTGACTGGTGAATTGAGACCATTTACACTGATGGTTATAACAGATATGTACTGGCTTATCCTTGTCATATTATTTTCTACTGTTGGTTCCTTGTCTTTCTCCTCAGTTTAATTGCTTGCTCTGCCTGGAGACTTCTTTCCATTATTCTTGGATTTGTACCCAGTGTTATATCTCCCTCGAGAATCTTTCATAGTACATTGTAAAGCTTGTTTTGTGATCATGAATTTCTTCAGCTGTTCTTTCTCATGGAATTATCTTCTTCCTCCACTAATTTTGAAAGAGAGTTTTACAGTATACATCAATCTGGGTTGGAAGTTATTTTCTTTTAGGACTTTGAATACTTCACTCCAAGCTCTCCTTACTTTAGGGCTTTTGTTGAGCAATCTAATGTAATTCTGATGGGCTTTCCTTTATAGGTGATTTATTTCTTTTCTTTAACAATTTTTAATATTCTGTTGTTGTGCTGAATTTCTGGAATTTTGATTATCTTATGCCTTGGTGTAGATTTATTTAGGTCATGGCTAATTGGAGTTCTATATGCCTCACTTAGGTGTATGTCAAATTCTTTTTCCATACTTGGGAAGTTTTTTGACTTTACTTCTGTAAACAGTTTTTATGTCATTTGTCCTGGCTCCTGCTTTTTTGTTGAATCCAATCAATCATATGTTATTTTTCTTTACATTACCTTGCAGCTATTGGATTGTTTTCTCATGATCCCTTGTTATTTTTAAGGGATCTTTCTTTTTGTGATCACCAGCTGCAATCTTGTATTGTAGGTCTGAAATTCTGTCTTTACTTTTGTTCATGTGGTTTTGCAAACTTTCAATGGAATTTTAAATTTCCTAGATATCTGTTTGAAACTGTTTCATGGGTTCCATTTCTTTCCTATTTTGGGTATTCATGATTTCCATCATTTTCCTATGTTCTTCTATTTTTATTTTAATCTATGTTTACACTTGACTTCCTGAGTAAGTTCTTTATGGTCACCATCTCTAATTTTTTTAACCTGGGAGATTATTTCTTGTATAGTCTCATGCACCTGTGTTTTGAACTTCTGCTGTTATCATTTCAGAAATATCAGATGGGTGGCTTCCCTTTTTCTCTGCTTCTTTGTCCCTTGGACTTGTCCTGGATAGGCTGAATGTCTGAGAGTGGGTTTTGCTTTTGCATCTTGTTGTCTTCCATTTAAAAATTTTTTTTCTGTGTTGTTACATGTAAATTTACTATAGTAGATAGTTTTGCCACTGGTATCATGGCCTTCTTAGGAAACATTTGTTCTTTAGATACAACTTCTATATGTAAGAGGTTCTTGGCTTTTGTGTCTGTCCCAAGATCCTATCTTTTCAATTTATTAAGGATGAGATGTTACTATCTTTTTGGCTCAGCACACTAGTCCTTTGGTACTGGACTGTGGTGATGGTTATATTGCAGACAGTCACAGCATTGTTATGGAAGGGAGAATAACTGATTACAACAGATATGATATCCTGGCTAAAGTAGTACAATTAGCAATAACAATGGCATCAAGCATGGCCTAGAAATAGGCAAATTGTGACAACTCTTAATTTGGTACCTTAACCTTAGAGACAAGATTTACAGTCATATAACAAAACTCAACATAAATGAGGAACTTGTGTACAATTAATTTCTCCCTAGTAGAGTGATTTTATCTTGTGCTAGGAAAATTTAAAAGATATAAGGGACAAAACAGAGAAATAACCAAAAAGAAATATAGTTGAAGCAAGGCTGGAAGACAAAGGATGTTCAAATAAGCCTTGTGAAACTGGAGAAAAGGGCAGGAGAGAAAGAAATAAAGAGAAAGCAAAAGATTATTGAAGCAAATCAGAGAGATTAGAGAAAATGCTCATTCATATAAAGATATCAGTAGATTAAGAGAGATAGCTTAGGGAAGAGAGAAAGAAGAAGAGTAATATAGAACAGAAACATATATAAACCAAAAAAAAAGAAAACAAAAAAAATGTAGCAAAAAATCCCCAAGAAGCAGTAAAAGGAAAATAATACACACAAAGGAAAAACATCAAATAAAGTTCCTCTGCTGTCCACTGTTCTCTGTCCGAATCAGAGGCCCACTATATCTGCTGTAGTATTAGTGCTGAATTAGATGCAAGGCTGATCTTGGCCTCAGGATGTGGAGGCTGTGTCCAGTCTTTAGCCAGCAGCTTTCTTGATGGCCCACCCACATCTCTTTACCCAGTTTGTCTCTGCATTGCTCTCCTACTTGCTGTGGCACTCTCAGACAGAGACAGCCCAAGGCTACTCCCAGTCCTGTGTACAGTTGGACCTTTCTCGCCCTTATACAGCCTATTGTGTTCCACGCAGCTGGCTCCTCTCATGTGCTGCCTTCCCTGTCCCATGCTGGTGGTCACAAGTCAGAGGGAGTACTGATTCCCAGCCCAAGGGTGCTTGCACCAGTGGTCACTTGGTGGGAGAGTACTTGTTTCCCACTCCTTGTCCCTGCTGCCACAGGTTGCAAATGATCCAATCCTTCTTGTGCAAATGGTAGGACAAGAGAGGGTGTGTTATTTCATCAGCAATCCTAAATCCTCAGCTGGTCTCTAACCTTGTTGTCACTAGAGGTTCCAGTTTGCAGTTATGGTGCGTGACAGACAAAGAAAAAGAACAAAACAAAAAAACCTTGGCAGCCCATCAGGGAGGGAGCAGCCACTCACCCCTGTGTGTGCCAGAGAAATTTGTTGCCAGGCTGCAGTGTCCTCTGTTTGCAGAGACTCAAAAGAGGTGGGAAGCCTTATATTCTATATCTATATCCTGTGTGGATTGACTTTGTCACACATTTGCAGTCTCTGGGGTTTTTTGTTTGTTTGTTTATTTGTTTGTGGGGTTGACTTCCTAGAAATGTAGTTCCTGCTCTAATCCCACTGGTGGTAAATCCCCTGTGAACTGGACTACGATTTTCTAAAGTACTATGCCTATGTTTTATTTAATCTACAAGTCTCTTATTTCAGACTAGTTTTTACATCAGGATGTATGTTCAATTACTTATTTTTAGCTGATATTCTCTGAGATGCTCCAGTGTGGCTTCTCCTTCATTCAGCCATGTTGGATCTCCTTCAAAAGAGGTTTTTTGAAATAGCTTCTGTCCACTCTTCTCTGTTAGTAGTGTCCACAAGTCTGGCTTATAGTTGTAATATTAGTTTTCTTTCATTATTTGATTTCAAACTGCAGGGGTTCCAATTATGTATATGTTGGATTGTTTCTGCCTATCTCCCATTTCAACCACTTTTCTTGTAAGCACTGCTTTTTCTTTCTTTTCTCTTTAAATTTCACTTTTATTTCTGAGTTTTGTATTTTTCTATTCTTGTATGCCTTTTGTTAAATTTTCATTCAAATATATGCTTTTTCAGACACTTTGGGACTTAGTTATTTCTGACATAATGTTTGTCTTTTTAAATTTTTTCAGGGTCAAATCAACTCTTGTTTTACCATACCTTTAAATTTATAAAAGAATTCTGTTCCTTGTAGGTTTTTAACATCTCCAAATGCTTGCTTAATGATATATAATGATATATAATTTTATTGGATTCTTCATGCTTTGCGGTTATTTGGGGTTAGAGTGTAGGAGGATTTTAATAAGTCTACATGCTTTGTTCTTGAAGTTGTAATTTTCTATTTAGAAGAGCCTTATGATAAAGAATTCTCATGTTCCTGTTCTTCAGGCAAATAGTTGATGGCCTGGAATGATTTACAAGAGCATGTTCTTCTTCTGTGTAGTGCAGTTTTTTAGTGTGTGGTTTCTTTGAGAAGGCATCCTTAATTTTATTTCTTCATTATTATGTCTTGAAAAGTCCTGAATTTCCTCCTTTCTTCCTTTATCCTTTCATCACACAGTCTCCAAAGTCTTCTTTTTTATTTAGGCTTTCACTGTCCCTTCCACTTCTGTGCTCAATTTTAAGTTTGTTCCCTATAGCCAGTGTTCTTGTCTAAACTAGTTATTTTTCAGTGTCTTTCATTTTCTATTTCTGAGGACAACTTATCTAGCCCCTTTGCTCATTCTTGTGAAATTTTCCAGAGCCTCTGAAGTTATTCTAGTAAAAACTGATGGTAGAAATTTACAAGACAATGCTGCAGGATCTAGATGTTTATTTTTCATGTCAATTAGAAATATTTAATGTTCCCTTTTTCAGAGCTCAAGGGATTTATGTAGGTTTATTTGATCTTCTTATTTGTTAAATTTTCTAGACGACTTGTGAGGAGATTCAGTTTTAACTTAGTGTCTATTACCTTGGCAACCAGGGAAACCTCTCAGTGTAGTTTTGATTAGAATGTATTCCCTCTTTAATTTTTGTCTGTTCATCAGGAACACTGTAGAAAGAAGAAAAAGTTACATGTATAGAAGAAGTGGAACTTCATTTCTTCAAAACCTGATTTGTGAAAATACTTCACAACAGGACAAAAACTTGTTTAATAAACTTTTGTTGATAAAATACATTTAACTTAATAAAATCATAATAGCAGTCAATGTTGTAATCATATACTTAGCTTAAATTTCTATGTTATGTGACACTGGAAATACTGGACTATGTGTGAAGTCTTCTGGCATAGCTTGATTAGGTCTCAACACAAGATTCAAAAATATAATATTTGTTATTCCTTCTAGAGATAGGAATAGGAATAGAAACAAAAAGGATTCAGTAGGAATAGACTATAATCCTCAAGACTTAACTTTGTTGAGATTTTCTTCAGTGTTACATGCTCACAAATAATGTCTTAACAGTGATTAGAACTTTGTTTATACAATATAATTATATTTTATAATGAGTGTTCCCATTATTTAGGTCAAAAAGACAACTGGGATGCACTTTGGAGAAAATGCTGAGGTTTGTTAAATATACAAATTACGAACTCAACAAATGCAAAATAATAAGTATGAAGCATATTATTTATGTACTCAAGTAATTATTTTCCTATTTTCTTCTAATATCCTATTGTTATTGGAAATTTTATACCCTATTAATCTTCCTTGACTCCTTCCCACAGCATAATATTAGCATTAAACACACATACACATTTACCCACATAGAGACATTCACACACAAACAGGCACCTCATGAGAGTAGTTTCCAGCATGAGTAGAGAGTTGTGGTAAAATTGAAATATAATGGACACATTTATAACTATCCAGTAGATTATTTTCTAATTTTATCCTAAAACATGAATTAGGAAAATTAAATTTAGAAGAATTTGTACTTGTAAAATATATGAGTAGAATTTGGAGTGATTTTGAGGGTGTGAATCTTCAGGCTTGGCAAGAATTCAGATTAAAATGATTCTGTACAACATCTGGCAGCCTGCAGGTTTCTGAAGTATTTCTTTCTAGCTACAGAGAAGTCTTGATTAAATGCATCTTCCAAGTGGACCTTCATAATTTCTCACAAGAGGCATAATTTGAATTAATTTAGTGCCATCTGAGGAAGAAGGCTAAACTTATTGACTGAAAGACACTATTAGTATTTGACATCTGTTCTCTAACCATGGATAATCAAGTGTTGACTATGGCACCAATTCACTTGATATTAAATCATATCTTTCTCTAAAATGAAAATGTATAAACAAAAATTAAAAGGAAATATTTAATTGCAAATTCTTTTTGTGGTATGTTAAATTTAAAAATTCATTTATGCAACAGCCAAGCAAACCACCTAAAACCTGTCACTTATCTACAATAAAGAGTGTCACTTTCCCAACACCACCACCACAATTTGATAGGTTGGGACCTAAAGTTAAACTGGTTTCTTAATATTACCCAGCCAAGAAACAGAGAGAAAAGTATTATGTTGCTCTTATATGTCAAAACCAAAACAACAAAAACCTGAAAGTAGAAGTAGGGCTATTAGTGAAGGAGAGCAGGTTTAAGGAGAAGAACAAGCAGGGCAAGACAGGGGAGTACAGAGGGTGCATATGATTAAAGCTTAATACATGATATATGGAAATGTCACAATGAAATATATTTATTTGTACCATTAGTATGAGCTACTATTTACAATTGCAAATATAAAAATAAATAGATAAAAAAGATCACCTGTCCAGAAGAGAATCAAACCATAGCATGACGGGAAATCACCAAATCACAAAAACAAATAGTAAAAGAAGTAGAAAGGAACATAACCACACTAAGTAAGCAAATATAATTAACAAAATGACAAATAGAAGTTTGTATTTACCAATAATAACCATGACTGTAAATGGAATAAACTCACCAATCAAAACACATAGACTAGCTGAATGGATTAAAAATCAAGATCTATCTCTTTGATACCTACAGGAAACCCACTTCACTGGTAAAGATGTGTGCAGACTAAAAGTGAAAGGTTAGGAAATGGTATGTCATTCAAACAGAAATTAAAAGGAGCAAGAACAGCTATATTCAGATAAAGCAGATTTTTAAAAAGCTGTAAAAAAGAAACAAAGGAGCTTATTATACATCTATTTTTAAAGAGTCAACAATAAGATATAACAATTATAAATGTATATGTACACAAACCAGATCACCCAAATAGATAAAGCAAATATTATTAGATCTGAAAAGAGAGGTAGATTCCAATACAAAAATAGGTGGAGATTTCATCATCCTACTTCTCTCAGTGGACAAATCACGCAGCCAGAAACCAAACAAAGGAACATTTGAGTTGAACCATATTATAGGCAAAAAGATTTAACAACACATTTCATCCAATAGCAGTGGGATACACATTCCTCTCATCAGCACATGAAACATTCACCAAGGTAGATCAAATACTAAGCCACAGATTAGATTTCTATGAATTCCTAAAAACTGACATTATATCACTTATCTCCAGAGACCACAACAAATTAAAACTACAGATCAACAAGAAGAAGAGTTGCAGCTAGGTTGGTGGCACACACCTGTAATCTCTGAGCTCTGGAAGAACAAGGTGCAAAGATCCTAAGTTTGAGCCCAGCCTGGCAATTCAATGACTTAGCAAGAGCCTGTCTCAAAATTAAAAAAAAAAAAACAAACAGATGGTGATGTAACTCAGTGCAAAGACCCTGGGTTCAATCCACGGTACCACAAAAAGAAAGAAGAGGAGGAAAAAGAGAAGGAGGGACCAGGGGGTTGGGGGAGGAAATGGAAAAGGAGAGTGTATACAGTATAAATACATGGAAGGTGAATAACATCCTTCTAAATGATCAATTGGTAATGGAAGAAGTGAAAAGGGAAACCACACATTTACTATAAGCTAATAAAAACAGCATCCCACAACATACCAAAACTGGTGGGGATATAGCAAAAACAATACTGAGGGAGAAGTTTACAGAAATAAGTGCAATCATCGAAAAATAGAAATATCCCAAATAATGTAGCAACGCACCTCAAAGGTTTAGACAAGCAAGAAGAAATCAAATTCAAATTTTGTACAAGGAAACTAAGAATAAAGACCAGAGCAGAAATAAGCAGGCAAAAAAATCTCTACAATGAAAAGTGCAGGAGTGTGGGAGAGAAAAAAAGTTCAGTAAAGGGCACCAGTATTGCAGAGTGGAGGAATCACTTCTGGTTCTTCCTTGGCAGAGCAGAACATCTGTTGGTTAAGAAACTTTCTAATATATTTTGAAATGACTGGAAAATATAACTATGACATTCCCAACATAAAACTTAATGGTTAAGAGAAGTAAATGCTTATCAACCTGATTTGACTATAACACATGTATACATATATTGAATTACTATAATGCACCCCATATAGATGTACAAATACTATGTCTCAATTAAAAAGCCTCCAAACTACATCCTTGGCTTCATTGCTGGAAGATTGAGACACCATTGTCTAATTAGAGAGTATATGGGAAGCTAGAACTAAAGCCTTACTCCCAGCCACAGTATCCTCATTGACTAAGATTCTAAATTGCTTATATTTCATAGAGAGGTTTGGGAAATGAATGAAAAGAGGAAAACCAAGAGTGAAGGAATGTAAACAGGTACTGTTTTCCCAAATATGGGTAGACATTTAATCTTTACACAAACCCAGCATGGCAGGTTGGAGTTTTACCCCATTGTGTGATGAAGCTGGGATCCAGATGGTCAGTCAAAGAAGTCAAAGTCCTTGAAATTCTGGGCCTCTGAAATGATGTTTATCCATTTTTCAGCCAATAGAGGGACAATGATTTCTGATGAAGGTGCAAATCATTGAATGAATTCCTCTACAAACCACTTTCTGGATCAGATTTCACCTGTCCTCGTAAGTCTTGATTGGATCAATATGAACCCAGTGCTCACACTTTTTGGCACCTTCATCTAAATCTTTTTTATTTTTTTTTTCTGCTATAGAAAATCTATAGTTAAAATATGGGCAAAGTATGTTTTCCAAAGTCAAAATAGTGCACACAGGAAGTCACATTACTTTTTCGTCAGGTGTGAGAGACACTGTTTTCACCCAAAGAAGAGTCAAATTTGATTTCTGCAAAGGAGGAGTCAGTGTCAGAACCTTATGAGTTTCAAATCCCCAGCCAGAGTTCTTCAAGCAAGGACAGTGCCTACAGGTCTCTTCTGAAACCCAGTGCACATGAGCGTGGACAAACACGTACACATACATGTGCCTGTGTGCAAATGCTTGCACAGGCACATACACAGCAAGCACACACATACATAGACAAAGGGATATTACAAGACTCATGGCATAAGATCAGCATTTCTGATTTATACCATCATTTGAGTTCCAACATCAGTATTTCAGACATAATACTCAGAAAGAGAAAGTTATTACTTATTCCTTCTGTGCTACTCTAGGAGCTGTGCACTGGAAGTTAAGACCCAACTTCTAGATTCATAGCTTACTGATAGGAATATATTTCAGACTGATATTTGACACATAGTATAACCCTTGATTTATTAGAATCCATTTTATGCATTTTTCAGAGATAGCAATTTTCTATTTGAAAATTCAAGCCAAAAATGTTAGATAACCCACATCACTGGTTGCATTATGATGGCAGTTATAATTAGTATTTGTAAAAGAGTCCCTCCAGCATGTTTTAGAATAATATTTTGATCAGAGTTTGTAATTATAAAAACTCATTTTTTCTTCTGGTCTTACTGAGGATAATTTGAGTGAACAAAAACAGCTTCCTTCTTATGCAGCATGCTCATCTCACAAAAGATATATACGCTTTTTGATATGCATTAAAAGTTTACTTTTCTGGAAAAGTAGAGGTTTCAATTTATACGTTGGTCATAAAGTAGCCTTTCCAGCACTTTCAGTAGTTATTCAAGTTTAAACTGAATTCCCAAAGTGTTGGAATTGTGGCTGAAATCTTTCTAATCAAGAAAATTCATTTCCTGAGGTTTG